ATACAAGTTTTGAGAGCATTAACAGCAATAAACAATTAAAAATGGTGATATGTTGGACAAATTTTTTCACTATAATTAGTGAATTGAACTTGCAAATGCTTATTTGGATGATGATAAATCATAGAATAAGGGTAACAAATTTTTAGACCAATTCACTAAAGAATCTTTGGTCCTTATTTTAGATTTTCAAATCTTTTGATCTTTATTTATGTTTAATTCAATATTTAAGTCCTTTATTAGTATCATTCTCCCTTAAAAATGTAAAAAATAAATTAGAATAGAGACATGTAATAAATGTTGAAATACGATTTGAATGATTTAAATTGAATATTTGATCACTGCTAATACTCTGCTAACAAAAGAAGGGTTTTTTTTTTTTGAGCAAAAAAAGAAGGGTTAGATCCAATAATTAACATAACGATAGAACAATTATAGCATGGTTAACTGAAAAAGTAAAAGTAAAAGTAAAAGTGTAAAACTATCAATAATTAAAAAAATTATAGTGATAATTATAATATGAATGATACTTAAAGGCTAAAGCAGCTTTATGAGCAAACAAAGTATCAGTGTTCTTCAATAAGCTCATGATTACATGATTGGGTAAAGTAATTATCTTTTGCAAAATTTGTGGTAACTTTTTGAGAGTTAACTTAAAGTAGTTCTTCTACCAAACTCAAACATTTTGTTTGAGACTCAAAGAAATCACTCAAACATCTATTCACCCATGTGAAAAACAAATTAAAGGTAGATATATAAAACCAATATTTTAATTAATTAATTAATAATTAATTATGTGGAGCTGGCTAGGCATTGTTAATTATCATTATCTCTAATCATGACAAAATGGGTACATACATAGAATTGCCTTTAAATAATGGCCTTATATTTGTTATCAATAATAAAGTAAGGTGGAGAGAGGGAGAGAGATGACAGGTTGATTCAAAAACACAATCAAGATTTTCTCTCTCTAAATCTCTTTTTTTCCTCTTTATCTGATGTATATTGGACAGAAGATTCTGCTTTGTAATATAAAAATAATTATTATTTTTATTTTTATTATAATAATAATTAGAGTCTTTAATCCTACGATAGCTTCACTTATTAAGAGACAAGAAGGATAGCCACATTTTTCTGTTCACTCACGTACTGATTGATAATGAAATCTACCACTATGCATCAAATATGTCTGCCAAATTGATGCCCCTCTTAGCACTATTGCAGTTATTATAATATAGTATATTATTGTTTTATATTTAATTTAAATTTAGATTATTTTTTTATTTCAATTGATCATTTAGTACTTTTTTATTTTGTGTTATGTCTCTTTTAAAATAATTTTTTAATTTTTTTAAATAAAAAATATTAATTTTTTTAAATACTTAAAACTAGTTCAAATGGTAAAGATAGAATTAGGTGGGGGATAAAAGTGCATAATTCATTTACCCAAAAAAAAAGAGCATATTTCAAAGTTCAAACTCTCATGCGTTCTAAAAAAAAAATAGTTTTTTTAAAAAATATAAATGAAATCTGAATGATTACCAACGTCAATGATGATAAATCAATTCAGTGTATTATAAAATTATTTTTTATTCAAATCATTCAAATTAAATCGAACAAATTAAAATCTTTTTTAATACATTTTTACATTAAAAACAGAAAATAAAATATTAGTAAATATTTTAATTTCAAAAAATTCAATTTACAATTTACTATTCAAGAAGGGGAACAATTTTTTTTTCATTTATTATTATTAATTACTAATATTTTAAAAACAATTATTTGATTCATCAAAATATTATGGAGAAGAAACAATATCATCTATTCGCCGTGAAATTGTTTAAACACAAGAATCACAATGAAACAAGCTAAAACTTGATTTCAATGGAAGTGTGCGTGAAAGAGAGTTACTATAGCTTGACGAGAACGGATATTAAAGAATAAAAAAGGAAAAATTTCGCTTAAGAACCAGAGAAGAGATTTAATTTTAAGTGAGCTCAAAAACATTATGAAATTTTATTTGAGTCTAATGGAGAAAAGTCAAAAGATTTTTAACAGTAAAAATATCAAAATACCTTTCATATGTTATGCAAACTTACTGATTGTTAATTTTCTTATTTCACCTGTCAATTTATTAATATCACTTATAAATTATATCTATTTGTCAAACAATTAGTAATATTACTTATTAATTATCTAACTTTACTTGTTAATTTACTAATATTAATTATAAATCACAAGACCTATCAATAATTTACAATTAATATTAGTAAATTTCAAAACCTGTCAATAACTTACAATTGAGATTAATAAATTAATAAGTAAAATTAGCAATTTATCAACTAATGTTGCTGCTTATGATTAAAAAATTGATGTCAAATTTTATATAATTATTGATATATCAACTTATGTAGTTTGTAACTCATATTCATAAATTAACAAGTGGAGTAAGAAAATTAACAATTAATAATTCTGAATAACAGATGAAGGATATTTTGATCTTTTACCATTGAAATTTTTTTGACTTTTCTCCCCTTAACAAAACTGAAATTTTAGAATAATTTTAGACTCACTTAAAATTTAGTTTCTTCCCTAAAATTCTCCCAGTAAAAATGACTATCTTTAGCTTTATTTGGAAATAATGGTTAATGAACTCTTTTGGTCAAGGAAAGTAATTTGAGTTTTATTATTATTAATAGGAAAAATATAATTTTAAATCCTTGTACTTTATTCAAATTTTGTTAGAGATCTCACACTTTTGTTTGTTAATATTCTAGATTCCTCGATGGAAGGTGTTATAGGGACCTAGAACATTGAAAAATAAAAGTGTAAAGAACTAAAATACCAAAAAAAGTATAAGGACCTATAACAAAACTCGAACAATATGCAGGGACCTAAAGTTATGTTTTTTCTTACTAACAATTAAGAAATATTTAAAAATCATAATGAGTGTGTTTATCTATAAATAGAGAGAAATTCATTTTTCAATTTTCTAACATCATCTGTGGTTTCTTTTTAATTGTGCACATGTATCTCTTATTAAAAATAATTTTGTTCAAAGCATGATGTTCTAAATCCTGTATGTGAGCACATCACTCAGTAGGAATTCAAATATTATTTCACCATGCTATAACAATCTATTCCTTTTTATTATACCAGGCTCATTAGTATTAATGAAACTATCTTTAATAAGGCATGAGGTGAAACTTGAAATTAAGGAAAAAATAATATTTAGGAAAAAGAGTAATATTTATCATAAATCAACTATTTGTTAGATATTTTATTATATAACGATTAATGAACTCTTTGGAACGAAAGTAATGAGTTTATTATTACTAATAATAAGAAAATATGCATGTATCATAATGAGTATATTTATTAAAAAGAGAAGTAAATTCATTTTTCAATCTTCAAAGTTATAATATCATCAGTGGAATTATTTTTTTGATAGTGCAACATGTAGCTTTTTATTGAAAATAATTATGTACTTCAAACCGTCAAACATTATATATAAACATCTTTTTTTATTGAAAATTCAAAACTTATTTCACTATATTGTGAGAAGGTAACATCTCTTTTTACATCTAATGGTTGTCAGTATTAGTGAAATTTTCTTTAATAGGGCAGGAAGTGAAACTTAAAAGTAAGGGGATAAAAGGTAATATTTAGGAAAAGGGTAATATTTGTCATAAATTAACTACATGTTAGATATTTTATTATATTATGATGTCTAAATATAAGTAGACTTGAGTTATTGTAATAAATTTGAATATAATAACTAATATATAAGAAAATGGATAGATTCATAAACTTGAGCTATGAAGCTTAGAATTAATATATGGTATTTTTTTTTTTTGTTACTCTCCCATTTCTCCCCAAATTTTCATACTCTATTCTTAACAAATGATATCTTAGACCATTTACTAGAAAGTGTATAAATAGACAGGGATAAAAGTGTATAATTCAAAATATAATGCATTAAAAATTATTTTTTAAAAAATACATAAATAAAAAGGAGAATGACATTGAAGGCCATAAAAAAGGAAATTATTACAATAAGGGCTTATTGATTTTACATAAGATATTGTCTTGTGAAAATAGATATATCGTTGTAAAAAATCGAACCTCAGCTTATTAAATTTTTGAGAAAATCCTAACAAAAAAATACAAGTTAAAGTTCAGTTTTTCACGATAATATATCTGTGTTTTCACAATACAATATATGATGCAAAATTAATAGGCTCTTATGATAATAATTTTCCTTTTTAAGACCTTCAATATCATTCTCCCTATACGAAATTTGAATGATTGTACTTGTAAAACAATATTATCTATTCACTATAAAACTAGTTAAACAGACAAATAATTCAATTGGTTTGTGTGAGAACATAGTTTGATAAGAATTGCATATACCAGATTACTAGTCCATAAACATACTACCCAAGTTGCATAGACGGCGCACGAATTTTTCTTCTAATTATTAGTACTTAAAAGAATAAGTAACTAAATTTTATTAAAATATTCTATAAGAGCCAAATAAGACAATATGTAAGACAATATTGTATTTACCTATTTTTATTAATCTTAACTCATGAATCAGCTTCATTTAAAACCACTATTTAGCAAACTATCACAGACAGCGTCAAAGCATATAGACATGAAAAAATGATCGTACTCATTGATATCCAAATCTATAATTTTAAGATAATGATAAATAATATAAATTAATTTTATATTCTAATTCTGATAAAGAGATTATTAAATATAATAGTAGTCAATAAAGTTCAAATTAATTTGAAAGAAATTGACCCAAAGTCTTGTGCTCTACAAAGATATGGGGCATTTCTTAGTTTTGATGAGTCTTGAAATTCAACTCATGAAACATATGAGGTATGCGTTAACCTTGATGAGTCTTATCACAACCCAAATTCACCAAACTTTTATCGTCAGAAAAAATACAGCAGTACTTATAGTAACACATAAATGACCTGGTAAGCACAGTGTCACATCAAGAAAATTGTGGAATATTCTATAAATATGTTTCATACTCTCCTGTGTTTTTAAGTAGTAAAGTAATACATTATTAATGAATGACACTCAAGAAATCGGTAGTGTTGAAGAAAGAAACTTCTCAATGTTTCATACTCTCCTGTGTTTTTAAGTAGTAAAGTAATACATTATTAACGAATGACACTCAAGAAATGGGTAGTGTTGAAGAAAGAAACTTCTCAACCTTGTAAACTTGGAACTTCTTTGAATTTAAACACACAGTCATACAGACGGCTCCCAAGAAATTCTGCAACTTCAGGATGTTTAACCTGCAAATACAAGGAATGGCAATAAGAGAGAATGAAATATAAGAAATGGGAATATAAAAGGATCAAAATTTTTAACAGTTTTCATATGCATCATTACCATTCCAATTTTGAGAGAGTCACATGTAAATTCAGCATGCAGATTTGTTTCTATGCCACGACCCTGTCAAAAACAATCAGGACACTCTTTCATATTTGATTTTTTAGAACTGGGAAACCAAACATAGAGATCAATTGTACATGTTTGGTACATGGAAAAGTGTTTTCTAGAAAGGAAATGGAGAATGTATCTAGAAAGAAAATAGGATAAATGCATTTACTATTTCCTTTCTAGGAAAAATTTCTCTACCTACCAGTGTATCTCAGATTCTCAATCATGAAATCTTAAAATTCTCAGATTTGATATAACGATGTGTGTTACAGCAGTAGTTAAGACAGTTTTCTGTTATTAAATGGAATATATCTTGGCTGCCCACTTCTGTCCCAACCCAGGATAAGAACTCTGAAACAAGGAAACTACTTGATAATCAAGCTTAGGTGATGTTCCTCAGAAGCTTACCGTACAATTTTTCATTGAGAGTATAGCATGCCCTGTTAGAGCAATAAGATAAATTCCGTTGTTGTGATTTATTTAAAGAACCTGGTAGCTAATACTTATAAACTAGACACATTTATCCATCATACACGGAGTCTTATAATTGAATCGCACTGTTTATCACTTGTGAATACTGAATAATGCGTTGAGTTTTCGGAACATGATTTAAGCAGCCAGGAGGACACAATGACGCACATGGAAAGAAGAAATTGGTTGAGGGATATTTTGGTCATTTTATTAGATTTTAATTAATTAAATATATAAAAATAAAAGCATTTATCATCCACAAATTCATTGTGATTGTCTGATTGACATTCAACTCCATTTCATTCACCCAAATGGTCTTCAAGTTCTAGGCCTGCTTGACTTTGCCTATCAATTCTCCCAACGTTGCATCCATCCTCATTTAGTGCAACTAAAAATGTCCCCAACAAAATCTAAGTAAGAACTCACCATCCCTTCTAATATGACTAGATCCGCATCACTGGCTAGGCATGCAAGCTCTTGTGACACCCGGGTAAGATCAATAACCTGCAACACGTGAAACAAAAAAGATAAAGAAAGAAAGATGTAACCATGATAAATAATGAAAATCTGTGCTCAGTTTCTTACCGGCAAATCATTGCCAGAGCTAGCAATTAAAAGGTTTGAAGTATCGACGCCCATTAGCTGTCCTTCTTCATCCTTCAACTGGCAACCAACATATTGGCGTTAGCAAAGAATATAGTTTTAGCATAGAATAAGATAACATAAAATAAAAAACTACCAAATCTATTTTCATCACCTTTGATATAATTTCGACCAACTCAGGGTAAGTTATATCGTTAATGGAAGGTAACTCATTAGCAGTCAATACAACCTGCATTCAAATGGAATTTTATAAGAGATACTGAAGCTGGTCCGGGTCGTACAAAGAAAATGTGAAATGCGGTCTGAGTTTTGACAAAAATTTAAAATGGGAAAAGAGCAAAAGACAGCCAAACACCTAAATAAGACAGTCAATTCTAGTGATGAAACTATAAGAAAGAAGTCAAGTGAATCTAATCCATAATTCCTCTAGTGCTTGATACTGCAAAAACAAATTTCCAGTTCATCAAAATGATCTATTTAACTTCCCATAACAAATAAAGGTAAGAGCTCCTTCCTCAATTACTCCTCCCCATCATTCAAAAAAAAAAAAAAAAAAAAACCCCAGAGGAGTTCTGGTTTTTTAACAGCCAGAGAAAAAGACATAGCCCAAAAGAGAAATGTATGAAAACCAACCTGAATCCCACGCCGAAGCAGCTCCCTCGCAAATGGCAAAATACCCAAAATGATATCAGCACCTGAATTATCAACAAATACGATAACCTGTTGTGATAAAAATGAACAGCTCAGAACAGTATTGCTGCAGAACATAAGCCAGACAAAATAAAATCCTTTACAAAAACCATATTGATAGAAAATATGGGAGACATGATTCTAGAAAAAAATAAATTCTCTTTATGTTATTTTAATATTTTGTCAGAAGGGAAATCTAAAGCCTAACTATATATGGACAAGGTGTTAACATTTCCTTTTGTGTTCTTTTGTAAGAGGAAATCTGAAAGTTAACTTTACATGTAGATGTGATTAATGTTTCCTTATTAAGGCATTAGAATTTTGTCAAATAGACTTGGTTGCATTTGTAATGAACACCCTTGATGAATGAATTACTGTAATTGAGTTTCAGAAGCTCTCCCCCTCTCTCTCTTTGTCTATCTCCCTCCTTTGCCCCCCCATTATTTTGTTCTTCATTTTCTTCATCTCTCCCTCCTTATTTCTGATTTCTCTCTACTCTTCCCCTCTATCCAGCACCGTGCAAGTGTGTGTGAGTGTGTGTCATATCAGTTTGGTATCAAAGCCAAGTTTGACTACCTTCCTTGGCTTTTTCCATCACCTTAAAGTCAAAGAACACTTGCCTGAAAACCTCTAAAATCCCATTTCACACAGCCTGCCCAGAAACCCCCAGTTCCCAACATCATATCGCAAAAACACCACCACTATCGTGTTCAAGAGGAGGAATTTGGTCAGAACCCGAAATATCACCTCCGTCCTCCATCACACGTGCAAGGATTGCCACCAGCACGTGGGGCGTGTGACGACCACACGCAGAGCACTCCACCGGCGTGTGTGATAGAGGATAGAGGTAATATTTCAGGTTCTGACTGGATTCCTCCCCTTGAGCACGATGGTGGTGGTTTTTTTTTTTTTTTGTGCGATATGACATTGGGAAGTGGAGGTTTCTGGGCAGGCAGCGTGAAACGGGATTTTAGAGGTTTTCAGGCAAGTAATCTATGACTTTCAGGTGACGGAAACAGCCAGGGAAGGTAGAAAAACCAAGCTCCATCCTTAGCTTTTTAGGATATTAAGAAGAAGCTTTCTGAAGCTCCAATCCTACCTTTACCAAATTTTACGAACTGTTTTGAAGTTGCTTGTGATGCATCTGGGACAGGAATTGGAGGTGTTCTAAGCCAAGAAGGATGGCTTTCTTTAGCAAAAAGCTCAATAATGCAAAATAAAAATACTCCACTTATGACAAGGAGTTTTATGCGATTGTGAGATCTTTTAAGCATTGAAAATACTATCTCCTTCCTCAACAACTTGTTCTTTACTCTGATCATCAGACACTTAGGTTTATCAACTCTCAACTTGAGTATATTCAAGGATTCACTTTTGTGGTCAAGCATCTTTCGAGAACAGAAAACAAAGTGGCTAATGCTTTGAGCCGGCGGATCAACTTGTTGCACACTATGAGCATTAGTGTTGCTAGTTTTGAAAACCTAAAGGAAGACTATGCTTCATGTCCAGATTTTGGGATAATATACCAAGAAGTTGAAACGATAACCATCATGATCACGTTGATTTCATCCTTAAAGACGGTCATCTCTTTCGTGGAAGCAAACTGTACATCCCACGAACTTCTATGCCAGATTTTCTCGTCTAGGAATTGCATACTGGATGTTTAGATGGTCATTTTAGGATCAATAAAACTGTAGCATTAGTTGAAGACAGGTTCTATTGGCCTTCCCTTAAGTGTGATGTGGCACGCACAGTGTCTCAATGTAAAAATTGTCAAACTTCTAAAGCTAGAAGACAGAATACCAGTTGGTACACTCCTTTACTGATCCCTAAGGCACCTTGGAAAGACTTAAGTATGGACTTTGTCTTCGGATTGCCTTGAATAGCTAGAGGTCATGATTTTGTGTTGGTGGTTGTAGACAAATTCTCCAAGATGGCCCATTTTATTCCCTATAGCAAGACTATAGATGCTTCTCATCTTGCCCAATTGTTCTTTAAGGAGATTGTATGTCTGCATGGGTTACCTACTACTATTGTATCTAATAAGGATGTTAAGTTTGTTAGTTACTTTTGGAAAAGTCCATGGAAACTTTTCGATACCCAGTTGAAGTTTTCTTCTGCTTTCCACCCCCAGGCAGATGGGCAAATTGAAGTTACTAATTAAAGTCTGGGTAATTTACTTAGAAGTTTAGTTAGAGGCAAGTCGAAGCATTGGGATTTGGTTCTACCCACTGCCAAGTTTGCATATAATAATTTGGTGAATAGGTCCACAAGCATGAGTCCTTTCCAAATTGTTCAAGGTTTTAATCCTAAACAACCAATTGACCTTATGCCAATCCCATTGACATTTCGCACCTCCGATTCTACAAAATCCTTTGCTCATTGCCTTCATGAATTACATGTTGAAATTAGGCGAAAATTAGCAACGAGTAATGATCAATATAAATTATCTGCTAGCAGTCATCGCTGATTTCAAAGCTCCAATATAGGTGACTATGTTATGGCTCGAATTCATCCAAAACGTTATTCTAAATAAGCTTTTAAAAAGTTGCATGCTCGAGCTTCTGAACCTTGTCACATAGCAAATAAGTTAGGATCTAATGCTTATCTTTTAGAATTACCTCCTAATATGGTCATAAGTCCTGTTTTTAATGTGGAGAATCTTTTGCCTTATCGGGAAACTTTTGAGCCTCCCATTTTGCTTTTTGATGATTCTATAGGTACTTAGCCCTCGCAAGTGCCAATCCCACCATTGCCGTCTATCTCACCGTCAATGGAAGAGATCAAAACCATTATGGATAGCCAAATTGTCCTAACTTCTGAGGGGCCCTTCCATCATTACTTGGTTCGTTGGAAAGGTTGTTCAAATGAAGATGCCATTTGGATCTCAAAAGCTGAGTTTAGACAACTTGATCCTATCATATTGGAAGCCTATCAACTTTCTATCTCTTTGGAGGAGAGTTCCTTACGGAAGGGGGGAATTGATAGAAAATATGGGAGACATTATTCTAAAAAAAAAATAAGTTCTTTTTATGTTATTTTAATATTTTGTAAGAAGGGAAATCTAAAGCCTAACTTTATATGGACAAGGTGTTAATTTTCCAGTTGTGTTCTTTTGTAAGAGGAAATCTAAAAGTTAGCTTTATATGCAGATGTGATTAAGGTCTCCTTATTAAGGCATTAGAGTTTTGTTAAATAGACTTGGTTGCATTTGTAATGAACACCCTTGATGAATGAATTATTGTGATTGAGTTTCAAAAGCTCTCCCCCTCTCTCTGCGTCTGTCTCCCTCTTTTTCTCCCCCACTATTCTGTCCTTCATTTTCTTCATTTCTCCCTCCTTATTTCTGATTTCTCTCTACTCTTTTCCTCTATCCAGCACAGCGCAAGTGTGTGTGAGTGTGTGTTACATCACATAGACACATGAAACTTGCCTTCTTCCATGATTTCTTGCTCCATTTCCTTTTGAAAGTGTCAAGGTCATCAATGACCCAAGGGCGAGGGACAAGATTTTGACAAGTAGTCAAAAAGGAAACTCCCTCCTTTGCAAAAGCCTCTGCAAGCTTCAAGAAATTTTGGAATAAAAAGGTAAAGCACAACATAATAAACTAAGAGTAGTTATAATAGCCCAAATTTTTGCATGCGATTGTAAAATACTCCATGACAATTATAATCAATTTCATGAGCTTTTCACAACATTACAACTTACTTGGAATGAATTGAAGATTAAATCCATATGGTTTTCCATGCAACACTTTTGGTCAAAGGTTCCAAATACAGATCATAGAATGGGAAAATGACAGTTAAACTAGACATTAAGTTCTCGCATACACTAATTGAGAGCCACAAGGGAACTCTATTTTTAACAGATATTTAGCCAAACCATGCCCACTGGTTCTGCCAGAGAAACTAAGACACACAATAGGGAGGCATGGTGATCAAAGGGACAGTACTGCAGTGCAGTTTGTGAGAGGATATTCAAAGTTACAGATCATAATTAAAACAAATAACACATGTTCACATCAAGAATTAAGCTTAGTTCAGGTTGGCACAATAATATTAGTTATACAGTAGTTTCACAATAAGAAATAGAAAATTAACTTACCCGTGCAGAACCAAGATCAAATATGTTTCCGGCAAAAATACCTCTCACTAGATTCTCAAGTCTCTTGCCTTCATCCTCTATAGCATCATTAAGTCGAACAACATCTTGAAATAAGGTCATGGCTTTTTCATTCTCTTCTTCCTATTGCATTCACTCAGAAAGGAGTAACAAACGTTAAGCAAATAGAACTTCATTGTTCGCCAATGATGTTCCTGTTAATGAAACTGATGACAACAAATGTCAACATTCAACTAAAGCTATAGGTTTAAATTGATTTTACCCATCATGTCTGAAAAACAGTGCTAATCAATTTCCCATTATTCTTTATGCTAGATGCAGCCATTATTTCAACCATTATAGCTAGATGCACACGTACTTATCTTCTTCATTTTAATATTGATGTTTGTATAGCATTAGTGCACAAGACATGTATTCTAAACTTACCTTGACTTGCTTAAAGATATCTCTGAATCCTAATTCTCTTAGTACTTGCTCGCGAAGCCTGCAGATAATCTAGAACATCCCTCCCCACAAAGAGGAAGAAAAGAAGAACACACAGAAAAAATCAGACGCATTATTCAACAGCTATATAATTTTTTTCTTTTTCTGTTCTTACTTTCTATTGGGCAGGAGGGAGTGGGGATGACATATCACAGCATACAACTTTAGCAGAAGAACATACTATTCCATCAAGACTCCATCGATGACTTTCAGGATTCTTCTTGAATTCTTCAAGTATTTCAGCATACCTTCACCAAATATGAAATATTAATAGATGCAATCAGGACCTCCCACACTAACAAGAATTACAATTTACTCAAACCAAGGAAAAAACATAATGACATGCAAAAGCCTAATGATTAAAAAGAAACTTTATCCCATTCTGATTACCAGATGTATGTTGATGTCGTCATTAAAAGGAAAAAAAACTATATGTGCAATGGGTCTTCAAGGTAAACAGAAAAGAAGAAGAAAAGCAGCAAGGAATTACCTTTGAGCAAATTTTTCAGCTCTATCAGCAGCATCAGGAACAGAAGGATCACTTGCTGCACGCTTCCTGTATTATTTATGCAAGTGTAACAGGTGTAATTGGTGCAACCAGTGCTAAAATAGCCAAATATGCCCACACAAACAAACACAAAAGTCAATGTAGAAAAGAAAATATACAAACAACAAAATCTCATTATGATTTCATATCAACCCACAGGGTTGTGGACAAGTCCCTAGATTCCAACTATCATTGGGTCACAATGACCCATCTTTTGTCAAAAAATTTGAGACTTCAACCCCAAAAAAAAAAAAAAAAAACACACCCAAAATGTTACATTCATCACTAAATACCATGTCTAAAATTTCTTTTAGCGTGTTGCTACAGAAGAAAAAACTTAAAATGTTTGTGAGTTTATCAAAGCCGTGACTCTGAATAGAGGTTAAGAAAGTTAGGAGATGCACTCAGAAGCTTGAGCTTCAGTGCTTTTTATTATTTCATGATATAAAATAGTGCATAGTTTTAAGAAATTATAATGGAAACAGTTGAAATATTAATTTGTTGTTGTTGTACCTGTTACCATTTCAATTTCTATTTTGGCCTTTTTCTAATGCTGAAAGTGCCATCAGCAATTATTCACCAACAACTTAACTGCTCTAAGACTCCTTACAATTACTTCCTTTTTAATAATAACTTCCAAAATCAACCTGCAGAAGCAGATTATTGGTAGCCAATACCAGCAAAAAAACAATACAAAACTCACCCTAATTCAGTACCTAAAAGAGTATTGTTTTTTTACCCATGGTAACTTCAGTTTAAAAAGAGGTCCCAAATGCCAAGGACTTAGAGCAAGTATCTTTACTGGTTTTACTGTGGAAAAGTTGGCCTCCTGTGCTGGGTTAAACAGTAAGGGGCAAACAATAATAAATCAAGATAAGCTGATGCGATAATCACGAGATCTATGGAAGATGACAAGCACCTAGACAGCGATAACATACTTAACAAAATGGGAACCAGCATTTTGAAGTTCCAGGTTAACGTTAACCAAAATTATTTGTGCTTATCCAAAAATGGCAAGAGAAATAATAGTTCAGGCAGGTTAAAACATAGGATAATTTTTGGGATGGACTCATTGAATGGGATGGTTAAAAGTTCAGGATTTGATTATAACACATCTAATGTTCTAAATCTATAGCAAATCTACCATATCAAAGAAGATTTACAAAGAGTAATAATTCAATGAAGAAATTTGACGGGCATTTCTATTTTAAATATCAGCCACAAGTTAAATTTCAAATATATGTGAAGCTGCTACTTCAAAGCTAACCAATGACAATGTCGATGCCACGTGGATGTTATCATAATCCCTCACCTCACATGGCAAAGAAGGCACAGTGTAAAATTGCAAACCAAGGTTAAAAAAGTCAAGAAGACCGAAAACCCCATAATCGAACTGTTAGAGCAGAAAGCTCGACATAGAATTCAAAACGCACCAACAAAGAACAAAATAACCAATAACGCGGCGTCACATTTCAAAAGAAACAAGCGAAAATCACGAACCAAGAACCAAAAAAGACAGCGGCAAAGTAAAAGTAAAAGAAGAAACGTACTTGAAGGAAGGGATGGAGCCAAGGAGAAGATTAATCCAAGAAAGCTCCGTAGGAGTGGGCTTGAGAGGATCATCAGAGGGAAGTCGATAAGGAATAGTTCCAGCTCTGTAATTGGAACGTACCAACAATGGGAAATCCACAAGCTCCGCCGATGAGCTCTCCATGCTGTGAAAAACGGCGCGTGGGAGAGGAAAAGAGAAGAAATTTGTATTTTCTGTTCCGAAAGGCGGGGAGAAACGCAATGTTGTCATGCTGATTGTTTCTGCTTCTGTACGGTGCTTTTCCGTACCCAGCAAATTAGGAGGAAGAAATTTTCTTCAAAAAAAAAAAAATTGATGCGAAAAAATAATAGCCACTGAATGAAGAAGAAAAAATCACTGAGTTAAAACTAGATTTTACCGTGATATTAACTTTCAGGTGTAATATAAAAAAAATATTGATAAGAGAAAATTCTAATGAGTTTAATTTCTAAAAATGAGTAGGAAAAAATTTTTAGATAAAATATAAAGGAGATAAATAAATAAAATTATTAACAAATTTTAAACCATACTTATTTATATAATTATAAAAATTATTCAATACCCTATATTTTAAATCAAGTTAAATTTTTAAAAATTGCACTATATTATAATTTGAAAAGAATATATTTTTAGTATTGATTATATATTTACTACTTATTATTTTCCCATGGGTCTCATATCCACCTTATCATGAAGTATTGTAACCTTTATAACTTTTAAATTACATTTATTTACATAATTATAGAAATTATTTAACACCCTACATTTTAGATTAATTAAAACTTTTAGAATATATTCCATACTATGGTCCGGAAAAATTATTTTTTAGCATTGGTTTCATATTCATCACTCATTTTTCATTTTGAGTCCATATCCACCTTATTATAAAAGCCTTATAATCTTTTATTTTTATTTATTATATAATGATCTTTAAAACTACAATAAAAATATTTTTTTCCAAAAATAAATAAAGAGGCTGGGCGGTTACTATGAAACTACAATAACCAATGCAAAATACAATAGAGGAAAGATACTTGAAAGACAAGAATATACTCATCTTATGCAATGTTGTGCTCTTAAGTTATAAAAGCTTTGGGATTGTTACTAGGTTCAAACTTACGACTTCTTATTTATAGGAAAATGTCATGTTATTAAGTCACAAGGTCATTGACAATAAACCTTGTTTTTGATTGAGTCTGTGAATAATTGATTAATGATAACAACTTCGGATGATTAAGAAAATCCTTACATGTAAGTTAGTCACAAGATGAAGAGAGGTAATCGGTTTCATGTATTCGGTAGAGATCTGTAGGTCCACTTCTTTTGCTTTTAGTTATTGTGACCCTTTTCTCATTTTATAATTTTTGTTTTTTTAATTTATCTCCAAAATGTGTTGGCTTTAGTTGGCAATTGTTTGACAAAAAACAAAATCATAATAATTTATGAAGTACTGATATTTTGAATTAACAGTCTAGGTCAATTAACAGTCAAATGAACAAATATTTAATGATAAGACAATATTGCTTCTTGAAAAAATTGTTTTGGAGGATAATGTCCCATTGTTCACTACAAGGTGTCTGCGCTTCTTGAAAAATGTTTAAGGATTATTTAACTCTTTAACTTTGCCCTCCTTAAAACTAAGAACCATTGGTGGCTAACAAATAGATAAATTGATGAGCATGAACTAACCAAATTATCAGTTCAAATATTGAAAATTTTGATAATTATGATTTGAACACTTGTTATGTTGCTCTTAAGTCCCACATTTAAACCTTAGAAGATAAATCATAAATATAAAAGTTTAAAAAGTATCTAATTAAATAGTTTAAGTTATTTCGGTGGAATATACTATTCTTAAACATACTTAATATAAAAAATCTTAATATGATATCAAGAACCATTTGATTGGGGGACAAAAGAAATAGAGGAAAAAAAAAGAAAAAGAATGAAAGATAAAAAAAAAGAGATTAAAAAGTAGAAGAAGAAAGAAAAAATTAAATACACCTGAGGCCTCTAAAATTAAAAAAAAAAAATGTACAAGCCTAGACAAGAAAAAAAAGAAAAAAAAAGGTAGTAGTGTGAATATTAGAGCATAAAAGTAGTCCCATATCTAAGGATTAAAAGATAAATCATAATCATAAATATATAAGTGTAAAAAGTATTTAACCAAACTGCTTAAGCTATTTTGTTAAAATATATTATCCTTAAGCATACTTAATACTCCTTCCGTCTCAAATTATAATATACTTTTAGATAAAATCTTATATACTAATAAATCTCATTAAATATATTTAACAACCTTAGTTTTTTCAAAATAAAAATATAAACTTTTAAAAATACCTTTTATTTAATAACTTTAAATCTATAGTTAATTAGTATTAAATATATAGAGACATGATAATATTGAAATAAGCCTATTTAATGAAACATTAATCTTCTCAAAGTGTCTTATATTTTGAGATAGAAAATCTCCCTCAAAAGTGTCTTATAATTTGGGATGAAGAGAGTATAAAAAATCTTAATAGCTTTTATTCATGTCAATGATTTTATTGTTTGCACACAATTTTTTTTTTTTTAATAATGGTGAAGAAGGTCGCTATAATGAACAAGGCTCATATTATTTTGAAATCAAATTACACAACTGAAGAATGATTTTGACAAGAACCAGGATGATTTTTACGCAATACTTGTATTTTTAGTTGGAATCACAAACAATATGATCACAAAAGAGGAGGAAATATGTAACGAAATTACTTTGATGAGCGAATAACAGTGTTGTGAAAGTTTAATAAAACAACTTTAAGGGAATTGATTGATAGAATGTGGAGGAAAGAGCGAACATCGTGAAGATTCAGGACCAAGAGCTAGCGATTCAAGGAGACAAAATAGAAAGGTTCATTTTGATGAATCAGAAAAAAAACTGCAACAAGAATGGTATTAAAACTAACTTGGTTGACTAGTCAGACCAGCAAATTGATAAACCAGTCCTGATCAATTAAATCAAGAGTTTTGGACAGGTCAACTAATTTGACATCCTCTCATTGCTTAGTCTGAAACATCACTTTAAGTTTGAAAAAAAAAAAGCAATTGGTTATATTTGTTGATAGGGACGCGGAAGCAGAATCGTACTAGTTTAGGGACAGAATCCTAAAACAACAAAAACACAAGAACAAAAAGAAAGGGAGGAAATTTATGACGGAAATAAAGAAAGGTATGAAGTAAACAATAGGATAATGATCAAGGAGAAGATCCTCTAGAGCACCTGCCTCTAGGAACCTCAACCTTCGAAGGCACCACAAGAGTTGATCACGCTCTTGATCACGTCTGTTTCTCACACGGGATACCACCACAAAGCACTAAGGCTCACAAGAGTTATAAACTTTAAAAATGAATAATTTCATTCAACTTCTGTGTTGTTTACAATAGGGAGCATGCCTAATTTATATAGGCTCATAGAAAAATATTTCCTAAAAATAAAACCCTAATTTCCTAATACTAAAAGGAGAAATAATATAAAATAATGATAAAATATTCAGCCACATAATTTAGGAGATGTGATCCTAAAATTATGGGATTACAAAATTTAGAAATTAATATTATAATTAATTCTAACCTTTGACTAGACTCAAAATAGAAAATCAAATCAAAGGACCATTAAAATAGGAAATAATTTAGGAGACAATCAAGGGATCATAAAGGATTTAAAATTACGCCACCCCTGACTTCTTTACTAGGGTTTCATGCCTCCTTGCTTGCAAGAGGCTCAACTTGTAGTCTTCCTTGCATTGGGCTAAGGTCTGCATCTCTTGGGCTTGACTCTTCATGAGTTTGGATCTTAAATACATTATACACGTATAGATGCTCTCTTTTGGGCTTGAGAGGAGTGCCCCAATGCTCTCCAAGCTCTTGAACTTCTTGCACAAGACTGAACAAGGCTTGCTTCATGGCTTTAGTTCGGGCTCTTGTCATTGGACCTCCAATATGTTGTAGTGGGTCTTTAGGTATGTTGGATTGGAAGTATTGGGCTCCTTCTATGTCACCATGCTCATGATTACCATCCTCAGGCTTCGTTGCCATTAATGCTATGTCACCCGTGCCATGGGGTCTATCATTCCCTCCCAGTTGGAAAGGATTCGTCCTCGAATCTGCAGAATCATATAAAGATAAATCAGAAACATTAAATGTGGCACTAACATTGCCATAAGAGCTAGGCAAATCAATCTTGTAAACATTATCATTAATTCTTTCCAAAACTTAAAAAGGTCTATCTCCTCGAGCTTGAAGTTTGGACTTCCTTTGATTAGGAAATCTCTCTTTCCTTAAATGTAACCAAACCCAATCTCCAAGCTCAAAGATCACACGTCTCCTGCCTTTATTAGCTTGCTTGGCATATTGCTCATTCTTTCGCTCTATGTTTGCTTTAACCTTAGCATGTAAGTCCTGCACAAACTTGGATTTTTTCTTGCCATCAGTGTTAGCATGCTCAAAGAAAGGCAAAGGTAAAATATCAATAGGAGATAATGGATTGAAACCATAAACAATTTTAAATGGAGAATAAGAAGTAGAAGAATGAACAGCCCTGTTGTAAGCAAATTTAATATGAGGTAAACAATTCACCCAATTCTTCAAATTCTTCTGAATTATTGCTCTTAATAGTATAGTCATAGTTCTGTTAACTACCTCATTTTGACCATCAATTTGTGGATGAGCAGTAGTGGAAAAAAGTAACTTAGTCCCTAATTTATGCCATAGGTCACAATAGTCTTAGGTAAACCATGCAAACGAACAATCTCTTTAAAGAATAAGTCAGCAATGTTAACAGCATTATTAGTCTTAGCACAAGCAATAAAGTGTGCCATCTTAGAGAACCTATCAACAACAATAAATATGGAATCTTTGCCTGCAGAAGATTTAGGCAATCCAATTACAAAATCCATAGAGATATGTTCCCAAGGGTGAGAGGGGACGGGTAAAGGAGAGTAAAGTCCATGAGGTTGGATCTTAGATTTTGCCTGTCTACATTTAATGCATTTATCACAAACAGATATGACATCTTTCCGCATGTGAGGCCAAAAGAAATGATCAGACAAAATAGCTAAAGTTTTATCTACACCAAAGTGTCCCATCAAACCACCACTATGTGCTTCCTTAGTAAGCAACTCACGCATAGAACAAATAGGAATGCATAATTTATTTTTCTTAAAAAGAAATCCATCAAATTTAAAGAAATCACTAGATCCATGATTTTCACAAGATTTCC